CCACAGAAGCAATGGCGGACAACATCCAACAGCACATTGAAATCAGCCAAGATTTTGATTTTGACATTAAACATAGCTTCTTCATTAAACATAGCACTCTTCATTTAGCTCAGCTATAATGTGTTTTTTCTTGGACAAAGTCATTATTTGTTCTCTAAAACACTGGTCGACAATAACAAAATCAATACAAATTCAAAATAAATATTTGTTTACGTTATTAAGGCATGCGCAATGAGAAATAATGTCTGCGTTGGACCAACTGCTCACGCTGAGCTAACAAAAAAGTATTTTTTTTGGCGTCAGCTCTACGTCAACTTTCCGCTGACGCCCAGATAAGGCGCTTGTCCTAAGAAACCAGACCTTTAGTTCTAAAAATAAAATGTTTGATTTTTTTGACTGCAAGATAATTTTTTATTTCTTCAATTAAATGTAGAAATCTATTAAGTACTTTGTCTTTACTGAGCCAGTGTACTTCAGTATTTATTTGCATAGCATAAAATTTGCAAAGCATTTAATGGGAAAATGGAAAACTGAAATATTTTATTGTTGGGCACAAGCAGCGGGCGCACCTAGACCGATCGACGGGCGCCTTGGTGCCCGCGGGCATAAGGTTGGGGACCCCTGCAGCTTTATTGTTTATATGTGACTTTGCACTTGTTTGCGTTCGTGTGTGTCAATTGATTAAATTAGGCGATATGTAATATAAATTCGACGATTGGATAAATTCGATGACATATTATATAAATATAGAATAATTATTATATCAGGTATTATATTATTATAATGTTAATAATTAGATCAAATTATTAGATACACTGTAGTTTTTAAATATTTAGATGCTTTGCACGAGTTTATATGCAATACTTACATATTTAAGCATACATGCAATGAGTTTTTATTCAGGAGATTTTTTTATATACTTCCTATTTGTATTTATTTTTAACGTATTGCATTACAATGTTAACCAATTAATACACGAACGTAAACAAGTACAAACCGGTTTCAGCCGCATAAAAACATTAAAGTCGTATATTATCACTTGATAACTAAGATTTTACATGAAATCTTAAAGTGCGTCTGATATATCGCACTGAAAATAATGCACGTAATAAGTTATTTTCACCAGAGCGCGAATCTAAAATCTGGAACTAAATAAAATATCTATTCTAGGCCGATTCATTGTCCTTTAAGTCATGAAAAAGACACGTAAACAAGTAATTCGACTCCAAAAAGTTATATTCTTCGTATGTTTGAGGCTATGTAAAAATAGTATCATTTTGCTAGTATGTCGTTGCAAATAATGCGAGTGCTTTCATATATGTTTCTTTGAAATTCGAGAAATTTACCAACAAAGCAAAGTATTTCGCAAAATGTTATTTATTTTGTATGCGTGTTTGTTGCCCGAATATCCTTTTTATGAATAAATGGTAGCTATCATAGTTCAAAAGGACTTTCGGAAGTATCATCATGAGTTTGAGATGATGGAAGTATCAACATGAGGTTGTTGGAATGATCATCATGAGGTTGAAAATGCAACATCTCAGTAATGAATCTTCAACGCGACACTGGAATTTTGAAAGTGATTTAAAAAGGCATAATAATGTTCAGTAGAAGTTTTTATTTTTGTATTCCTGTGTATTTTATTTATTTGCTGAATGGATTTGCTGTTTTATTCTTTGTTACGACATGACAGCATCGAATGGGAAGTGCATGGATGTCAGCCTTTTATAGGGGGTCGAAAAGTATGATATAATTCACTATTTTCTACCTTGCGCAATTAATTTGCAAGACTAATCGCAAATTATATGCATTGAATGACAAATTGCAATTGAATAACAAATTATAATGTACGATTATTACATTTAATTAGTATGATTATAAATCATTAGTATTAGATCAGGGAAATTTATTGCAATAAGTAGGTTCATATTTAATTCTGCTTTCCTTAATAATAAAGGTGTAAGTTTTGTTTTCTAAAATAAATACTTTCAGCATCTTCCTAAGTGAAGAGCGAAAAATCAGTGCCTGACGATAAGTAAAAATCACATAGTCGCCTAAGTAAATATCCGAAATATGGTCTAGTTAGTGCTACTATCCGGTATACATTTGCCCGGTATGCCCTACACTGATGTTTCTTTAAGGTCAAGTGCAACTGCCCGGTATGCATTCAACCGGTACTCCGAACACTGATGTTTCTTCTAATCTATCCTCGGCAGATATTAAAATATCGAATGAATATAATAATATAAACGATTAAATTAATATCCAATCGAATATAACAAATATTTCGGACATTCACCAAAGCGACTATGTGATTGTTGACATTCACATGTGAAAGTCTTGATTTCGGTCATTCATATATATATACTTTACATATATATATATACATATATCATATATATATACATAACATATATATACTTTATAAACTAATATACTTTATGAATTATATATTTCTCATACTTTAATATAAAAAATGCTTTGAAATATATTTTTATAATTTTGTTTTGTTTACTTCTTGTATTAAAATTATCTTCGAGCAAGCAGCTCATTTTTTTTCGAACTATAAAGATAGAAACTATAAAGATAGGAAGTTAGAAATTGACTTTGAATCTAT